CCCCCCTCCCCTCCCAAATCGCCCATCCAACAACAACCATCTCCTCCTCCCCCTTCCTCATATCCATACCCATCCTCTCCAACCAACCCATCGCCTCCCACCCCATCCTCATCACCTCATCATTCCTCTCCCTCTCCTCACGTGCACCTTCTCCACTTCCCCCTCCTTCCCCAGAATTCAAACTCCCACCCGGCACCTCAGCAACCACAACCTCCGTCGTCTCATCCAAAATACCTATCAGAAATCGCGCCGTCCAGTGATATATCGTATCATGGAATAGATCGAGATTGTTATCTAATGGGGAGTGGAGGTATGAGAAGAGAGGGAAGGAGCGGAAGGATGTTAGGACTAAGGGGAGGAGGGAGGGGATGTCTTGCTCGGTTGCGGGACGGGGGGTTGGAGTTGGGAAGGGCATTTTTTGATTGGTTTGGGTGTGTTTTTGGTTTTATTTGGGGTGAGGTAGGTTGTAAGTTGTGAATGCGGATGTGGATGTGAGATTTGGTTTTCTTGGCGGGTGCGCGCTTGTGGGGTTGTGCATGGGATTTTTGTATAGGTAATAAGACATACTTATTTGGTATTGACGGGTTGGACAGTCTATACCTGCTTAGTTGGGTACTTGAAACGCAGCTTGAGGTATGTGAAAAAAACTAGATGTTTTTCACTGATGTATGGACGTGGCTCAGGACTAGGAAGTGAAGACCTTCCTTGATTACTTGCCCTACTGAGTATAGGCTTACCAGTGAGTACACAGCAAGAAGCCCCACAGAGCCATGTTTTTATAATCCACTAGGTACAAAGAGGATATTCAAAAGAGAGTAATGTGTTTCCTTTCCCGACTTACACAGTCAAGCAAATGGTTAAGGAAATCTGGTATAACAGTATCCTTATCTCGATATCAACTCTTGCTAACCAGACAGGGTCGAAATACTTCATTTGCGTACCAGTGATCTCAGTGTGACTATCGTTGAAGAACAACAATTCTGATCTACTCGAAATTGCGGGGATACCAATACTCTGCAATTAGTCTTGAAAGGTGACTGGAACGCAACAATTTATTAGAACGGCTCCTATTAGCAAAAACAAATAAATCGACCACGGAATAGAGCTATTCTGAAAACATACGACTACGATGACGCACAGAGCCAACTGGTGAATATTAAACTACGGCTCATTCATATCAAGAACATGGGAGCGGAATCCATGTATACTATTGTTTAATGTGTGGTGGGATGCCAGAACCAGCTCAAATGATTCTATCAGGGCAAGACAAACGGAATTTGGATGAAGAGGAACGAATTGCGATAAGTTGTATAGACAGGCGAACTTCCGAACCCGCTTACCATAAGAATCTACAGCGAGTAGGTACATTTACTATCGAATTCCAATTTGCTGTCGAAAGATAATGTTTCGTTCACAAAAAAAAGAGAACAAGGATTTCGGAGGTCCTCACTGTCATCGTGGGAGGCCAGAAATGTAAGTGACATGATGCTAAGTGGTTTAAGCATGACATAGTACTTTTGGTGGCGCAAACTTCTCTCCCCATGTTTTGTCCTTTGCGATCATTTTCTTCTCTGGCTGTCCTGGGGTAGCAGGCCCATGCACTTTTATACTACTGTAACGATAGAAAATATTAGTGAAGATCTTGAAAAGATTATTACTAATAAAAACGATTCAAGGTATTGAAAACAAACAAGGTCGTATTACAAAGACTGACTATAGTTAAATATAGCGGATTAAACGTGTGGCAAAAGAAAGTATAAGTAAATACCCTTTCCCTTGAATGCTAACGTTTTTGCTTCTACTACTGTAGCTTAATCTTGATATAGGTATAGTCTCAAGATATATCATTAGTATTTGATATTAAAAAGAACTTATTTGAACACATACTCGCCTCTCTTTTGAACTAGCTCCCATCTAGCTGCTAATCATAATAGGAATTGGTGATTCATTATAAGTTCAAGGGCAAAATTCTCTTCGTGACAATCGCTAGCATTAGGTGTGATATCGTAGACTCTGAGACATTAGGAGGCAGTGTATATTCATTACTCAAAGTATCATCTCACAACATTCCATGCAATTCTCCGTCCTCAAACCCTCCAGGTTTCTTTTTCCTGCTCTCTCAACCAACAGTCACAGTAGTGATTCTCGTAACATAAGCAGTCGAAACCTTCGCAGAGGTCGTCGTGATAGCAAGGGTTTGAGTAGTCGGTACGAAAATCTGTGAAACAGGTGGTAAGTACAGTACAACAATGATGCCCGAAGCGGGGTATAGAAGAAGTCTTACAGCAGTAGTAGAAGTGACAACTCTCGGAGAAGTTTGCGTCACAACAGCCGTAGGTAACGGTTTGGTCACCATACAAGTACAGATATCACTCAGAGTCTCTTCTGCGATTCCAGAGAAGTACCAAGGCGTGGGGACTCGCTCAGCAAGGGCATCGCGTTTTACTTTGCAATTAGTCTATATTTGCTGTCAGATAAAGTCAGTGATATGAGGAGGCATTTGACATACTGGAGCGTAATTGGGACATCCGATGTCGTAGAACATGTATGGAGATGCACCGGGGATGGTATTGCTGCCTCCTGAAGGGACATTGTATAAGTTGCATTGTGGTGCTGGGTCTGCCGGATCCGCAACCACTTGGAAACTCTTGCAGTCGGATTTCTGTAAACAGAGTTGGTGGCAGGATTGTGCGTCAACGCCTGATGCTGAGTAGATGTTGTTGGTTGCATATCCCCAGCCTGCAAGACCGCATGTTTGATCCGCGACGGGAGTTGGACATAAGGCACCGGTTGTGGTAGGTGTCGGTGCTCTGTTGACCGGGAGTCAGTTTTCTTCTATCTGGTAAAGAGAGTATGCTTACGAAGATGTTGATGTGGTCGAGGGCGTAGTTGGCTTGGAGGTGATTGATGTGGTCGAAGACGTCGTTGGCTTAGAAGTGGTTGATGTTCTTGTAGAAGTTTGTGTGGATAAGCTGGTAAGTGTAACTACACTAGTAATTACACGAGTAGATGTCTTTGTCAACCCAATCGTAGTCGGCCTCGTAACGGTAGCTATAGTTGTATATGCGGAAGTTTGGACGATTGTCGTAGAGGATTGAATAAACTCGGAACAAAATCCCAGGGGGTTGGCGCTCGTGGGTCTGTTGATTTTGTTAACTTGGTCAAAGTAAGGATTCGACAACATATGAGACTTACGGGATGCCAATTGGAATAATGATTAGGCCCGGCGCAAATTTAAATATACAAGCTTGAAGAAATCAATGTCAGAAGTTGCTAGAAGAGTTTCATTACGCGAGAGATAACCTACTAGATGCCGAAGGTGGCGGTATTCCGATTTGTCTGGAAACAATCTCTGGTTCCCCTAGAACGACGGGAATTCCAATGACCTGTCTGGCTTCCAGCAGTACCGTCAGTAAGGCCAAAATGAACTTCATGTTGAACGATATCAATACTGCAATGGTGAAAACTGTGAATTTGAATGGAGAAACAGCTTCAAACAAAAAAAAGACAATGGCAAAGACAGAGAATATATTCCCATATCATCTTTGGAGCAATACCTTGGGCAATATAGGTTAATTGCTCCTTAGGTTACCACTATTTCACTTCCCTGGATCAGGTCACCAAGAATAGCATACAAAGTACGAAAACGTACAAACTTTTGGAAGTAGCCTGATTCTTGACAAGGTTCCCCACATTGATCCATAGATTCCATACTGCCTGGAGACATCTCTTACATCTTAGTTCAGGATGAATTCTCCGCACTTTTCGATAAAAGTCTGCAGTACATGAGAAGACAATAACAATGCTTTCGAAGGCGGATGGGAAAGAAAGAAACAGAAATAGAAGTTGGGTATTAGGCTGTGGATTGGGGTTATGTAACTTATTCGTATAACTTCATGACCTTGCCGGGTAATATACCTAGTAGGTATGTAACCTGCAGATGATGGCTAAGTTATACAGCATTGAGAATGGATTTCGGCGGCATGGAGCCGAAAAGGACACCCGAATGGATACGGCATATAGGCACAGCGAATCAATATCAATATCAATATATTTTGTGAGCTTGATGGTAAGTTGATGGATGAAGCTGCGCTGCAGTAACAACGTTGCGGAGAGAAAAGAGATACAGGGAGATCTGCCTCTTGGGCTCCGATGGTTCTGCCTTCCTTATAGAGAGATACTGTAGCCGTAGTCGTAGCCAGGTCAGAAAGGAATAAATGTCGATTTTTCAATTGCAACGTTGAGAGCTTTTCGGGTCTGGACTCTTTTTCGGCATTGATTAAATGGTAGCCAACTTTCGAAAGTATCACAGCGTCCAATTAAATGTGATGAGAGTGCATTGACCAGCGCCAAGCCTGATTATGCAACCACTTTAGCGCGTCTCGACTCGACGAACGCGACTTCTTCACCGAATTTCTCCCGCATTGCTGCGTCAGACCAAAATGAACTAACAGAATCTCGAACGCGCACAGAACCGGCGCTATGGAGAACCGATCGAGTATTCGATGTACAAGTGTTGATATTGATCAATCCAGGTCGAACAACCTGCTGTCGCCATGGAGAGCTGGGAGCGAGGCCGCGAGGCTTTGTTTACAGAACTGACGCGAATCTGCAATCGCATTGGCTCTGATGTGGCCGCTGGTGAGCTGATTTCTTCTGTTGGATGAGTGAAATTTAGACTCACACCAACTGTGTAGAAATCGACGAGGAGAATGTCACGAGAATCTCCAAAGAGGAGCTGCAATCGCTGCAAGACAGATCAGTCAAGGTGGACGAATTGACAAGGGAGAATGGAAGGTTATTGGAAGAATTGAAAAAGCCACATGCGACGACTCTCCAGCTAGAGGAGCTCGAGAAGGAGAATAAACGCCTGTCCGAATTACTCGAGGAGTCGCGGAAGAAAGAAAATACCGTGACTACAAACCCCAGCGGTCATACTCGCAATGTACCCAACCCCATTCCTATTTCCAATGAAGCCCCTACGGAAAAGAAGGAGGGCATGGGAGATAGGGTATCGAAGTATAACCAACTGGTGGAAAAGTTCAATCGCGTCTACGAATCCAAGAAAAACGCCATGGAGGCATTGGAGGAGCTGAAAGAGAAACAACGCCAGAAAGCTCAAAAGTACTCTGCCCGACATGAAGAATTTAGTCAAGCTATACTTCGCAAGGACGCAAAGATAAAGAAACAAAAGGATGTCATAATAGATTATCGAAAGCGTCTGGGTCTCCCTGATCTTCAGAAAACGACAAAAAGAGCTGCTTCAGAAGTTTCTACAACTTCTTTTGTAGAAGTAGATGGGCTCACGGAAAAGGATGATGCCTCTGATCAGAACGCGATACGTCAGAAACAAAACCCTACTACTGAAAGCAGTAGTTCTGCGCAGGCTCTATTAGGTCTGTTGGCGCGTCCAAAAGAAAAGCCTGTGATCGAAGGTAGCAGCAAGTCTCCCAACAGGCATGATGTCGATCAAGACGAGTTTCCTGTCGTTTTTGAACCTCCAGATCCGACTTACTATCCAAGTCCAACTGGAGTCCCAAGTTCACCAGCCAAATCACCACAACTCCCGCCAAATCTTCTTCATGAAGGGCGATTTCATGTCGAGGATACACAATTTGAGCCCACAGAACCTTTTGGTTCCACCCAAGATGACCCTTTGCAGAACTCATCCCCACATGGTTCTGCTCTGTCAGATAGACTCAACGATGGCTCAAGGGTAGAAAGCTCAGAATCTCCCGACTCTCCGGTGTTTATATCAAGTCGAAGTGTCAAGAGGAGAAAGCGGCAGAACGACGACGCTGACCAGAACACATCCAAAGCTATAAAAGTGGAAATAATCACCAGCAGTCCTATTCTTGCTGCAAATGTACAAGAACTGGCCCACACTGAAAGCTTTGATTTGGATGATATAGGAGAGAGGGTAGATACACCCAAGAAGAGACGTATGCTTGAGCTTTCCCGGAAGGCTTCTAGACTTTCTTCCGGTTCTCAAAGAAATGCTTCCTTCGTGGATAGCCCGCTGTCTCAACTAGTCGCGGTCGTTGACCAAGGTGAAGAGGTTGAAAATGAATCTCCATTACAACCCTTGAACCCAAATCGACTTATTCTGCCACGGACGTCAAATTTGGATCCAAAATCCCCTAGAAGAAGGCGAATTGCGAGTGACACGGCTGTAGCTGCTCTGGGTGAAGATGAATCGATTTCTGATGAGTCTGGAAAGGGGACTCGAAAAAGTCCGCATAATGACAGAAGGTTGGATGACTTGCTTACAAAAACATCTCCTCCCAAGCGAAAATTACGCGCGGATAACTTGATTGATCCAACGACACCTGATCAACAGAGGCCACCAAGAATGTCCCACATCAATCTGCCAAGTGAGCTTGCAAGAAATCCAGCACTCAATCTTGGCTCGATAAGGGACGATCAAATTGATGGCCTACGAAGGTCTTTGGAGCCAGCGGGACGGTCATCAAGAGATGTTTCTCCTCTCCTGGCCGACAGGCCTACCTCAGCTGTGGTGATGAGAAAGAAATCTGCGCGGCCGTCTAAAGATGTGACCCCTGTGTCGAGGCCCACGAAGCGAGTGCCAAATAGCGAAGCTCCCGTCACCAGAACCTCGTCTGTTGGTATGGCGGAACGATTAGTGGAGAGTGCTCCTCGTCCCAGACTGCGTCGAACTGATAATCTGACACCACAGTCGAGGCAGTCACGGGTTGGCCATAAGAACGGCGGCGAGGTACTCGCCGATTATAGCTCCACGCCCCTCAGGAGTCTACCACTTGATGAATTGAACATTACTGATTTTAAGATCAATCCCAATGCCAACCAAGGATTGGATTATGCATTCAAGGACGTTGTACGTGGTCGAGATCAGCGACGATGCCTCCAGGGCTGCACAAAGCCAGAATGTTGTGGAGACAAGTTTCGTGCGCTTGCTCAGATAACAAACGACAATCGAGGTTCTCCAACACTGTCACAAGAAGACGCAGATAACCTTTTACTAGAGGAGTTCTTGGGTGATAATGCACATAAGCTCCAAAACATGAGCAAAGATGAGAGAGACGAGGTTTTACTTCAAGCAAAGACACGCAAATTATCGAATGATATCGGCAGACATCGAAATGCGCATGAGAGGAGGAACACACCTCCGGGATTTTGGGAGACGGATTTTCCGTCCACACAGGAGCAGAATGCAACGTGTGCGGCATCGCGAGAATTTGAACGTGCGAATGTAGCAAACCGTTATGCGCAGGCAATGCGGCCTGGTGGGATTTGGAAGTTTCGGGATGAGTAATGGTTGCTACAGATGAGATGGAGTATTTGGTATTGGGCTATCATTGTTGCTGGAGTAAGGGAGAAGTAGATACCCATATAGATTTGTTTTAGCTTGTGTCTTTGGGGATGGACTTGGGGATGGACTTGGGGATACACACTTGTGTTATTGCCTAGATGTAGCAAAATCATCACTCGTTTGTGTAGTCATTCGTTCTTTGGGAATTATTCGCTTCGTGCAGTTACAGTAGTATGTAGTATGTGAATCACTGCATGATTGATTAAGAAGAGCCCTCGGGGATCATCGCACATAAACAATGCTAGTCGAAGGAAACCATGAGACAGTTCCACAGTCTACTACTATCCAAACTCTCGAGATCTCAATATTTGGGTTTCTAGTTTCTTTGACATAATCACTCTTTGGCATGTGGCGTTTGGTGTGGCAGTGCCTTGGCTGTCAGATCCCCAAATAAACCCAGCCAAGGCTGACACTGACCACCGGAACCACGGCCAACAGTAGGGGCTGATTACGAAGGATCGCGACGACCAACGTACCTCACCCGACAACCCCATAGCCACCTTGGAACAGCATACAATCGCAACTCTTCAACATCACGAGTCGCAATCAACAAACGCGCAGACGTATGATCACAACATTCGCGCAACATGGCAGATACTTCACACCCCGACTCGATCGATTCGCAGGACCCAAACCAACATCCAGATGAGAAGAAGACCAAGAGCAGGAGGCCGGCGAGTAAGGACTCCATGGGTTAGCTGGTACGTCGAGGACTCGGGCTGATATGATGTTTCTTCATGCAGATACGGCATTCCGACAGCAACGATTAAAAGCATGGCAGTGAGTGGCACGATGGAATACAATGGGAGGGTTGAGATGCGCCGGAGTTCTGCTGACGGATCGTGAAATGTAGACCAATTCTCACACCCAAGACCGTCCTCCCTTTATTTTTCGCGATCGGAATTATATTTGCGCCCATAGGTGGAGGACTATTGTTTGCAAGCTCGACGGTTGGTATACCCGGACGTCATGGGAGGACTTGAACTTGGAAACTGACTTGAGCTTGGAAATATTAGGTCCAAGAGCTTAGAATGGATTATTCGAATTGTCATACCGATGCGCCTTTATGGGGACCGGAAGACCTTCAGACGGATCCTACAGCAAAGATGCCCAGCAGTGCTTGGGAATCGCATTTCAAGTCAAATGAAATAACTGGAGACCCGAACCCGACATGGTCAAGACAATTTGTTACTCAACAATACGGCGGGAATGTCAGTGTTGGCGTCTGGCAATGTCAACTCAACTTCACGGTCCAGCATGAACTGACGCCCCCAATATTCTTCTATTACCGCCTCACGAATTTCTACCAGAACCATCGTCGTTATGCCAAGTCTTTCAATACCGATCAATTATCCGGAAAAGCCGTTTCCTTGAAAGCAATCAGGAGCAGCGATTGCACGCCACTAGCAACTCCCTCAGGTGTTGATAAGCCATACTATCCATGTGGTTTGGCCGCCAATTCCGTTTTCAATGACACATTCTTTACCCCAACTCCATTGGGATTTGATTGGGATTTTGTCATGACGAATAACGATATTGCCTGGGACAGCGACAGAAAGCTTTATGGCAAAACGGCCTATAATTTGAGCGATGTAGTCCCGCCACCAAATTGGATGGCACGTTATCCTTACGGCTATACCGAAGATAACCAGCCAGATTTAGCCAACGACGAGGAATTCCAGGTCTGGATGCGTCTCGCTGGTCTTCCCACATTCAGCAAGCTCGCTATGAAAAATGTTACCCAAACCATGAAGGCAGGAAAATACTCTCTTCTGGTCAACAGCCGTAAGACCCTACTTCTCCACCTGTTTCATTGCAGATACTAACCCAAAAACTTAGATTTCAACGTAACCGAGTATGGAGGAACCAAATCTATCATCATCAGCACTGGGACCGTCATGGGCGGCCGAAACCCCTTCCTAGGAATCGCCTACGTTGTCGTAGGAGGTATCTGCATCGTTCTTGGTTCCCTCTTTACCGTCACCCATCTCATCAAGCCGCGTAAATTGGGAGATCACACATACCTCAGTTGGAACAATGATAACCCAGCAGCTGGTGGTGTAGCAACTGGTGGTCGTGATGGAGTGTTAGGCGGCGAAAGAGCGTAATATCCTCCTTTTCAGTTTCCTGTTTTGGTTTGAGAAATGAAGGCTTGGGAGATCGGGTCGGGTACCCGGGTTTGGAAGACCCGGAAGAAGAGATGATATTGTGGGTTTGTACTATAACGAGATGAAGGAGGGAAGGAATGAAAGGTCTGGTCTGGTTTGGTCTGGGTGTCACACACACACACTTTTTAGTTTCCCGGAAAACCCCTTCTTTGGATGGATGAATTATTTCGAAAGCGCGGGGGTCTTTTCATGATATGGCGTCGGTCTTTCTCCCTTTTTTTTTTTGCTTTCTCGTTATATTTATGTTGCGTTACTTTTTTTGGTTTTTTATCATAGGAAAATCACATTTTTGGGGTTCTCTCTTTTCTCTATGGTGCCGTGGGTTTTGATTGATTGTGAGGAGGGATTTGGAGGTAAGTATGATGGGCTTTTCTTGGAAGGGGGGGTTTTTTTGTGATATTGTGATACTGTACTATGTGTTGTGATGTGATTTAGTTAATGTAGATTGAAGTGAAGTGAAGTGGGGCTTTACAGTAGCGTTTTTGGTGAATGAATGAATGGCAAGGTGACGCTTTGTTTATGGGTTTACTGGGGGGTTTGTAGGTTGGTGGGGTTGTACTTAAAACGGTTCGAAGTAAGTGAGGGCCCTCTTCTAGTATCCAGTAGATAACATAAGAATAAGGTGTAATACAAGACGCCTGCCTAATCTAGTTATTACCCTATAGGCTATATCTTTAACTAAGAGTTTAGTATAAGGAAGTTATGTACGGCATCTTGGTATCTCCTCCGTGGACCGTGGTACTTGTCCCTTAGAAGTTAGCGAGAATGTTTCCGTATTTAAACCTTAGAAATTTAGCGAGCCCTAGCCCTAATAAGCAAATGATATACTATAGCTAGGTGGTAGAGTAAGATACTGCTTAACTGGAAAGTCCTGTTTACTTTTATAATTTTATTTTATATTACTCTATTTATTCTAGGCTTGGAGTTCTGGACGGTCCATACTGGGTAACTGATGACCTTGACGCTTTTGATATGATGGGGCGTACACGAACATTGTATTTGTACTATGAATTATGGGTGTGAGTGTGCGATAAGAGAGAAGGCGCTTTTTTTGAGATTTTCACTAATGATGGATGGACTTGGAAATCATGATTTGGCATGGGGGTGGGAATGGGACTGGTAATTGGGATGAATGGATGGCTGGATTGGGGGATGAACGGCTGGGATGGAATGAGGCTAGGTAGATTAATTCATGATACGAGTAATGTAATCAAAGAGAAGAGGATTTTGGATACATTCTATTGACCAGAATCTGCGTATGCCTCACGTGTGGCGGAGTATCTGGGACGAAAGAGTAGCTCGTAGCTAGTACCTTGCTAGTAAGTCAGCCACGAAAGTTGGATACCATGAATCCCGAGCTGGATGTGTGTTCTATGGGGTATATATGGCTCGGTCTGGGTGTTGTTAATAAATCGTCAGAGAGCCATCGTTAGAGATAGACAAGTGATGGTGTTCTTGTTGGTCGTTGCTTGCTTGTCCTGATGGAGTTTCCTTCTCGTTTCCTGCTTTTGCATTTTTAATGGGCTGTAGGTACAGCTCCTTTGTAACTACGAGGCGATGAGTGGGAAGGGAGGAATGAATGGAAGGAAGCGAAACGGCGGTAAGTCTCTTTTCAAGGGTGAGATCTGGGCTCCGATTATTCGTATGCGTATATATCTGCCTGGTTAGCGTTGTAGTCTTGTGTAGAAAGTATTTCCCTCTGTGAAACATGATATAGGTTTAGTTTATGAGTATGGCTTCCGTCCCGCTTATCGTTAAAGGAAGATTTTCTGTGTCTATGCTAACCAGAGTTTTGTTAATGAGTGAGTTGAGGGATTGCAGAGCTGATACTAGTAAGGAGTTGTGGGGTATGTGTTTGCTGGGTACTGGTGGGGCGTTGAGATACGTGAGTGAAGGCTATGTATAGTAAGGTTAAGGCGCATTTCCGTATGAAAAATAATTAGAGATTAGGATTTATAGAGTCTAGAATAGGGCTGGTATTAGGAGCTACTAGTAGATGGATTGCTAGAAGATAGAGTTCAAAGTTCGAATATGTGACGCAGATTCAAAGTCAACTTGTATTTGTTTAGATCCCTACTAAATTTTGGGAATATCTCATGTCCTGTCTTCTTTGCCTACTGCCGGGACATCACTCGACCAACCTTCCAAAGTCACGTGGGGCCACCCCACAATTCCAAATTGTTGTTGATATTGTGAATTAAGAAATCTGTACCTCGAAGCAGAGTATTGAAGTAGTGGCGAGGGCGCTGTCATGCGAAAGGCATCGTAACGGATGTTCCGGTAGTAGGCTCTAACCCGGGAGAACATCCACCAAAAAATTGCTGTTTCCATCTCTTTTTTTGTTTTTATTTATTTTTTATGCTCGTTGAAGCGTTGGGTGTTGCTTTTTGGTGTTTTGAAGGTATGTATTTTGTGGTTGTTAAGCGAGATTTCGATGCTTGGCGGGTGGGCGCGTTCGTTGGCTGGGATTTTGAGGCGGCGTTGTAATAGGAGCGGATCGATCTATAAGGGGGTTTTGGATATGCGAAATGGACTTGATATCACTTTTTCGCTGCGATCTTTGCTTAGATATTGCAACAGCACATCAATGCAACTGAATATTTTCTTACTCGTGGCACATCTTCGAGACGTGGTTACTCTAGAATTTCAGCAAACTTAACCTGGTATACTTGATGTCGTAGATCTTAGTCATACTAATTTCGAGATTCTGCTCAAGGATTCACCGTTGCTCCAATCCAAGATATCTGCATGAAAACCAACACAAACACACAGTAACATCAAGGATAGCTTCATTTCATTTCCCTTTTCAGCTATATTTCGTCTCCAATCCCGACTCCGAGATTCTCTCCCTCTAAACCCCCTTCTCCTCCGCCTCCGCCTTTTTCAAGCCAACAACCAAAGTCATCTCTCCGCTACAGTACAGCTTGAATAATTGTTTTGTTATAACCGAGATAGCGACGTCCAGACCTGTTGCTTTCCCAAAATATCACGAATACTGGTGGTCCCCGTGTAGCATCAGATTCCTCAAATTGAACTCCCCGAGGACTATTGAGTAGCCGGGTTCTTTCAATCTGGGGAAGCGGGTTCTAGCCAGAGACGGGATAAACCTACGAGCTATCTAGAACAAAACCCGACTCAACCTGAAAATGTTTAATTCTAACTAACCCTTTACGTAATTCCCCAAATTCTTATTCTTTACCGTTAGTTCTCAAGTAATAAATTAACTAAATGATTCTCAAGGAAAAGTTTAAATAACTAATATCTTAGAAAAAGTATTCTAATTTAATTATACTAAGATTTTTGGCTAATACAATTAACTATCGTATTAAAAGTTTTACTTAATGACTTATCTCAATTATAAGTTATTCGAGTTAATTTAAGTTAAAATAATAGATTCAACTAATTAAATACTAATTAAGTAGTTTACCATAAAAAGCGACTAAAAGATAAGAAGATTATTCTTAAAAGCTACCCATTCGTAGAGCATTTTCCTTATTAGTTTCTATATAAAAACTTTAACTTTTAAGGCTTATTATATACTTAAAAGTCTCCTTTATTAAATAATTCCTATTTATTAATATTATATTAGCTCTCCTACTAAATCGCTAGGGGCACTCGTAGCGGGTTAGTAGGCATTTATCTAACTCTAAAGTACTTAGTTATATTATCGCTTACTAACTCAAAGTTATACCTTATATAAGGGTACTTAGCTATACCCGAGTAGACGGACCGCCTAGCCTGAGCGCTCCGGGGCGCTATAGCGAGTCGGGCTAGTATAAGTCCGACTAATTAAGTTCTTAGTAAGTTAAATAGAGTAACTATTTTTACCAGTTAAGCCAAATTAAGTAGGAAGTTTTACTTAACTCGGCTAATTAAATTTAATATACTATAATTCACTAGATACTATATTCTTTTATAGTTAAATCTCTATTATTACTAGCCAATTAACCTCTATATAAATAATCTAATTATAAACCTAGTAAGCTACTTAAATATATCTTAGTAAATCAAACTTATATAATACTAAACTAATAAGTCACAGCTTACTAATATATCTCTCCTTGGATTAAATTATTATAGTACTACTTACTTTAAATATAATAATTTCCGGTTAAGATCAAAGATCTTTTCCCTTGATGAAAGACTGTTCACAAGGAGTTTCTTTCCTGATGCCAATCTTGGTGAGAAGCTTTGACGAGGGCCTCGTGTGTGACTCAACGTGCGACGTGAGTGATAGGATTTAGCCTTCCCATCCTCCTCACTGAAATGAAAAATAACGCGAGGAGTTAAAGCAGTTAGCCAAAGGCAATTAATTACATGAGCAACATCTATCACAAGAAGCATCCAAATGAATATTTCTTTCCAAGGTATATATATACCCATATAATAGTTACAGTACTTTTTTACTTACATCCAGCATCTAGTAATGCCAAAACTTAGTAGGTTTCCATCAATACTGTAGTAAGATTACCAAGTTTCAAATTCTAACCATATATTCAAGAGTCCCAAAATCTAGAGAATCTATCTGTGACTTCCACTTCCGCTTCTAGCTGTCTCATCTCATCTCATCTCATCCAACCTTACGAAAACCCCTACAACGCACCACCAACCTCCTCAACCGCCCTCACAAGCGTGTTTGCTCTTATTAACCTACAACTTCCTAGTACCTTAACTACCTCAACTACCTCCGCCACAAACACCTACCACTCACTCGCCCCTAAGCCCCTTATAACAACGTCCATCCTTACACCATCAGAAGCGAAGAGGCAAGACCAAGCCAGATTCGGCTCGCCTCATCTTATCTCTAAAATATGTATTCCCCAAAACACCGAGAACGAGCGAGAAGAATACAGTATCTACGGCATCCCAACAATCTCAACAGACGAAACATATATCATCAAACTTGAGAATGAATTTTCATACTATACAAAAAACTGTCACATCACCAAAAGAAAAAAGACAGAATCCACGACTTTCATACTCAGATATCTTCAATATTACTAGGTAGTATCAATCCCCATCCCCATCAACATCCCCATCCCCATCTCCATCTCCCCATGTACCAGTAAAAGTAACGCTCAAACCATTTTTGTGCTCAAGCAACTAAATCTCTGCTCCATCCGCTCCCCCCACAAACCCACGTTTTCCCCAAATAAGAAATACAAGAAGAAAGAAGTCGCAAAAGAAAAGAAAAACGCCTCCCAGCTCCATATCGCACAACGGAAACAAGCAAAGGAAACGAACGCGGGGGCGGGGGAATCAATTTTGGTCCTTTTTTGTGTTTCTCTGCTTTCCCTCTCTCATCCGTCTTTCCTCCCGGTTACCTCAAGAAGAAGCAAATAAGCTTCTTCATCCTTCCATGCCACCAAACTGATAATACAAACAAACAAATGGGTTTGAGATAGCCATCCATGCAGAGAATCCTCCCGAAGAAGAGGGAACTTAGAAGTGCGTTCAATGCTTTCTCTTCTTCTTCTTAGGCGAGTCCTCATCATCCAATCCACCCTCCGCATCCTTTCGCTTCGCCTTCTTCTCCAACTCATCCCAGTCTTCGCCCTCAGAGTCACCATCATCACTACCCGCGCTTCCTTCGTCATCACTAGCATTGCTATCAAAGTCGCTCTCGTCATCGCTCGATTCATCCGATGCCGCAAGCTCACTATCTGAGATCTCGAAAGCGGATTCCTCAGACTCCTCTTCGCCATCATCCTCATCCGTATCGTTGGACAGGAATCCCCATCCACCGTCTTCGAAGAAGGCATGTGGATCCGCGGTGACAGTCTTCATGATGGTAGGCCAGTTCAAGTTGAGAGGTCCGTCTGTGAATGGGATGTTTACGGAATCCAACCACTCTTTGACGTTCTCTAGTGACTCCACGGGAATGGTGTTGATGTGAGCGGGTGTCCGAGTGAAATCCTTGAAAATAAATACCATATCAAAGTTTTTGAGACCAAACTGAACACGTTCCAAATGGGCCACTTCGATATCCTCGAGTGTGATGACCATAAAGGGAGGCTCAGTAAGTTGAACCAAACAGTCCGCCGAAGGTTGACAGTAAACATTGGATCGATTGGGTACACCATTGAAGCCAAGCTCACGGAAAGGAACATCAACATCAATGTTTTCGTTCTTTCCAGCCTCAGCAATCTTCTCGGCAAATGCCTTGAACTGTCTATCGAGGTCTGCTCGGCGTCTTCTTTCTTCCTGTTCTGCCTCGAATTCTTCCTCGTCACCATATCTGTACTTACGCTTTCGGTTTCCTGTTTCATCAAACGCAATATCAGAGGCTTCGCGATAGAACTGAACATCCTTGGTCTTCTTCTTGCCGATCATGATAGGATCCTTGAGATGGACGTGGATGATGACGAAAAGTTCGTGGTCACAAGGTTGGAAGAAAAGATGCTTAACGTTGCTGAATAAAACATCAACTCGCTGATTGGTGATTGGTGATTGATATCGTAGACCGTTCTGGTGAATTTCAACCTTTCCAGGAACACGCTTACCATCCATTGCTGGACGGACAAAGACATTGTCCATAACAGTAGGTCTTCGGTCTGTAATGTGTCAGTATAAAATTTGACCTTGCAAGGTTTACCACAATAGAGACCGACTTACTTCGAATCTCAGTCAACTTATCCTGCTCAACCACGTCCTCTAATTCCTTCTTCTCGTTCTCTCTTTTCAAGGCTTCCTTCTTCATGTTACTGATCTGGTTTGCGATTTCCTGGAATCGATCACCATCATGAGATCGGAACGTCAAGCTTCTGATAAAATGCGCAGAAGCATCTTCAAAGGGTTGATCATCTTTTCTACCAACACCCTGACCAGGCGATAGAAAGTTGATTCGAAGGAAAGAAAAGTCGCCTTCATCACTCTTACTGGCATTTTTGATAGTTTGGATGTGAAAAGGAACAGGACGGCCCATGACAGGAAGAACGATCGAAGCTGCCTTGGTATCCATAACAATTGCCAAATCAGTTACCTTCTTAGGGAACTGATTATCACGCTTGTACGACTCAAATCGCTTGAATTTCTTCACAGCAGATCCGTTCAGATTGCCGGAAGATTCAGCAAAACGCAATAGACCTTCCTCTTGCTTCTTCTTTGCAAGCTCTTTCTGATGTTCACGACGTCTGGCCTCGGCACCCTCATCTGCTTGGGTTGTTCGCTCAGCACGAAGTTTGGTTTTCGTGATATTCTTGGCGGCAACAGCACCGACTGCGGCGTCTTTCTTCGTCTTCCTGGGTGTAGGCTCCGGCTCCTCGTCGTCCTTGAAGAAAAATGAAATTCCTTCCAGATCTGACGGGGCTTCTCCAGTAAAGACCACGGGGTCATTCATACCAACCCGAATCGTATCTGAGAGTCCCAAAGAGTAAATCTTGCTCTTCTTGTCTTGTGGATTAGGATTTTCGATATCGTTGAAACCTGTAGTAATACTCAAAGTCATGCCGTCTCTCAAAACCCGGCCACTCTTCGCGTTCAGAACTAGTGTTGGGTCTCGGGCTTCGATACCAATACCTGCACCAACATTCTTGACAAAATGCTTCTCAAGTTCGGGCTTCTTTGCCTTAACATGAGCAACTGCCTTGGCATAAATATCCTTCACGTTCACGCCATCTCGAGCCATGTTGATGACTGTACTATGGACCTGCAAGAGAAGCTTATATGCGCTCTCTTGCGACTTATTCGGATCAACCAAATACGTTCGTCCGATCGTAGAACAGTAAGTTTTGTATCGAAGACCCATAGAAGAGAGAATAACTCCAGCGTGAAGAACTTCGTCATTTGTTTGTGCGCTCATCTTCAAATCAAAATTTCCTCCACTCTGCACAGTTGGGCCGTGGGTCCAATCCAGATTTGCAGCATCGAAATCGTTGGGCAATTTGGATTTATTTGGTAGCTCGACCATTTTCCACCATTTTGTATCATCCAATTTGCTATCGATTTTGTTCGCTAGTGCAGTGTGCTTCACCTTCTTCTCGCTATCCAATACTCCTGACATTTCATCGACGAAGTATGGGTTCATTAAGGCGACCAATGCTTTGGAGCATGTTCGGATTGTTTGCTTGAGTTTTATTAGCCCAGTTTCGCAGAAAATCGAAATTACTTACCAACTCTTCCTTATCCTTGACGGACAAGGCAGCAGCGGATAGTGCTGGAGTAATATCAATCTCCTCGAGGTCCTTTTGGATGGGCAGATATGTCTTCTTCCAGTCGTCGACGAATGCTCCATCTGATGTATCCTTTGGTAAAACACCGACTTTCTTCTGTTACCCCCAAGATCATTAGCCTTGTTTCCGCAGATCCCGTTGTATGGTGTGACTTACGCCTGCAGCTTTGATTATGTTCGCAACCTTGGTGAAGACTTTTGCGTTTGCCTCCTGATCCTTTCCACGAACTAGAACCTCAAGGGGGACCTTGCCGCCTTTCAGTGGTTCCAAATGTTTTGCTATTCATTGTCAGCCTCTTCCAGTCCCTGTAACCCTATCATATTCGCGCAAGGAGTATATACCTTTTTTCGCGGTCGTAACAATGGTGAGGCCGTCAACTGTAAATAGGAAGAGCGTAGAGGGAAATTCGTAACCAAGCAACCAGAACTATTCCCATCATTAGCAAACAGTCGCATTCCTCAAACATGATCGTCAGTCGTCGCAAAGGGTTCTGGAATACATACATGAATGGAATTATTCTTCTGAAAATTTGATGTCTCCTCGGCCTTGCCTAGAAGAATCAAGATGGAGGAAGCTCCATTAAACAGCGCGTCGCCGCTGCGCTTGTCAGCTTTCCATGCTCCGATGAAATGCGACAACCGCTCCTGAAAGGTACTTTTGACGATTTGGATCTCTGCCATGATGCTGGTTGTTTGTGGCGATGGCAGAGACGGTGGTTTGGTGCGAAAAGAAAAGGTTGAGTTGAGGACGCGCTGCGAAGTTCGCGACGGGTAGATTGATTTGTAGGTTTGTCTGGAGTTGGCCACCGTACTTGCAAGGGTGGGATGTGTGGGGCGACGTACTGAACGCCACGTGATGTGAACCCAATTCAGAAAGTGGCTTGAGAGTGGGTGGGTGGGTCCCGCCACAAGATTTAATAGCATTGGTGGTGCTTGTACAAAAGACTGATACCCTACCAGAAATTCAGTGAATGGAGGTAAGGCAGTAATTGTTTTCCATTCCCTTAATTCATTATTTTATTGATACGGTTATCCTTAGCTGTTAGTAATCCCCTTAATTCTGACCCAGCTTCTGCCAAGTAGTGAGGTTGAAAGTGAAGCAATATTCACTGTATCTTCGTACGAGTATCTCTAGTGAATTACTCCTGAAAAGTTCAGAAGATTCCACCTTCCAATACCAGAACACAAGTAGCCAGGGGTTCTAAACTCTAACGAAGACCACTTATACATCATTTCAAAATATGCCAGTAACATCATGTTATAACCATTAAATTTCAAATACTATCTATTGGTATAGCATGCAAGTTCAGCATGTAACATATAAAAAAAAACATCAAAGTCTATATACAAAATTCATCACACACAAAATTCCTAACCCCGGTATTATCCAAACTCCCAGAAAATCAAGGTCCCAGTACCGCCGCACCTAAAATACTCCATTACCCACCCTTCATGATTCCGTTTCAAAACCTAGGGAGTGAGAAAGACATCAATAAAGCCCCCTCCCACTAGCCAACCTGACAAAACTATAAGGAACATTTTGCCCAATAAGCAATCTCAGCGTTTCAACTGTGGTAAACGCGCTTGTATCAGCTACACCATAAGCTGTCCATCCATGCTGCTCTGCTACGGCAAGAGGATCACTCTGTCTTGGTCCATTTGCAAGATCAAGGAAGACTTTTCCTTTACCTCCGCTACCCTTTCTCTCGATGGTTGGCGTTGACCTTCTGCTAGTGGAAGAAAAGTGGCGGAGCAGAGGGTGTACCAGGTGTGACTTCCCAGAAGGCAATGCGGAAATAATGGCAAAAGGGTGATCGACTCTTTGTAGACTGTCTATAGATGTGAACGGCTCAACACCAACCGCAAGAGGTCCAGGAGCTTTAAACCCGGCGCTATACATTTTCCCAATATTCAAACTCCGCAGAGCGAATATTATTGGTGCAGCATCTTCGGGGGAGTGTGATAATATGATCGCAGCTCGATCCTGGTATGCTGATGGCGCAAAATCTCGAGTCAAGGTTGCACGAATGCCCTTCCATGTCGCATTATCGCCAATAAATGATGCGGATGCACCTTCGCCTCGAACAACGACCGTGTCAATGGTGCCAGTGGTTCTGGCTGCATCCGAAAGAACGGGAATGTAAGGTTGATTTGCCGGTAAAGCAGGGCTGAGGTAAGCTCCACCAAAACCAGGCTGATGACAGAAAGATTCGATAGAGCCTCTCACACCAGACCGGTCCACAGAGGTAAAATTATGAGGAAGCCCAAGCTCATTAAAGCACTTTTCAAAAAAGGTGACTTGGGGACTTGAGCGGAAAGACCCGATTGCATATATGTTCTTTTTTGGAAGTTGACCCATCGTGCTTAATGCTTCGTTGATTTCTGCTGCAGACATCTGACCTGGAGCAGCGACGATAGGCAGCAGAGGATGTGTAATTGGGGAGAAAACTGTATTCAAGGAGCGCGAAAGTTGGCCTAGTTGACCCATGTTAACTGCTGAGAGTGGTGGGCCTTCTGGATTGTTGGCCTTGATCTGGGAGCGAAAATACTCGAGTTCGTAGTTTTCGGACATGGAATTGATGATTGTGATCATTTTGACGATGTCTCCATATTTTCTAGATTCGTCAAATATGGTCTGGGCTTGCGGTGAAGCCCATTTAAAGGTTCCCGAAAAATCGTGAAAGGCGGAAATGATGCGGCTACTGCCTCGTTGCTCAAAAAGACGATGTCGAATTTCCTCCGGTAACCATATTTCAACATCTACATACTCGCAACCCCATTGTATCGCTCGGTAAAGATACTGGTAGAATAATTCCGGATTATCCATAGGAAATTTACCATTTTCTCGAGTGCATCTGGTCGTGAATATGATCGGGAGCTCTGTCCGTTGTCGCAACAACATGACTTGCTCCCCGACGTAGCTCAAACTGGGTACTGGGCTGAATGATCCATCAGGTAGAGGTTCTCTCAGAAGATCTACCCGTATTTCGACGGCATCTGAACCAACAGAGAGGATGTCAAGATTTGAAAGTGCTGTTCGTACATCAGGAAATGTTGTGGAGATGAAATATGTCCTTGGCTTTGTTATTAATTCCTCGTGATGGCTGATTTGGCCCAGAATAAAAGCAATAAATCGAGAGAGGTCCCTCCGGAAAAATGGCGATTCCGTATATAGGAATTCGTAGTCTGATGCAGCTGATAAGTCGACATCCGGAGGCATCCCCAAAGCCACACAATGAGCGTTGATGGTGACCAACAAAACTCTATTCCTTGACAGAATGTCGGCTTTCGCGTCGCCAACAGCTATCCCCACAACCGTTCCCTGGTCGTCACCACGAACTTCAGAGAATCTTGCAGCCAGTCGATATGGCTTTCCAAGCACGTCCGCAAAAACAGCCACAATTCTTTCTTGGCCTTGGCCATAAATGATAACCACGACCCGTGGATCACCAACACTTGCTTTGGTTCCGTTAATAATTCCATTTGTGCTCTTGGGCCGGGTTGGCGTAGGAGCATCCTGATGCTGTTTGGTCGCCATCTGGCCGGGTTGGAGTATTGGCCCGTGGTGCAGCCAAAAAATCAAGTTCAAGGTCCTGCCAAATACAAGGAGGGATGGGTCTACTCAATAGAAGATCTATGTACGAAATATCAGTGGAGAGTGAGTCTGGCTGGGCGGGAAGAGCTAGAGGAGGCGTAAATCCAACTCTTTTGAACGTCAGATGCAGGTGTGGCCTAGTCTTGACCAGATGGTGAGGTTACTTGGCGGATAGACTCTTAAGGTGCTAATTAAATTCACGGGATTATGTTGTCAAACCGGTCCAGGCAATTGTCGTAGGTTGTCCTACACGAATACGCCTAATCCCATGGGTGGTATTTAGATGGTTGACATGCGTCAAGATGCGTCAAGCCGGTGACAAAATCTCTGATGCTGGGGGGTTGGTCCACTACCCGTCGCGTGTTCGCTGCAGATCTTCGCAAGGTGTGCAGTGTGCAGTGTGGTCCCAAAAAAGATTTGATTATATAGCACGGGGCAATTCTGGGTCTGAGATGGATCAGTATCAGAGTTTCGAAAAGACGAAGACGAAAGCGTTGCGGTCGTCTGAAGAAGCTCGTCTGCTCGGGGGGTTTGGGCGCAATGAGGCCTGGGCTTGGATTTTTTGGAGCAGCGGGAGGTCTCTGGATAGGAATGATTGGGGGTTCTATTTTCCCAGACGATCCGGACGTCAGGGTCGGCAGAGGTTGGAGGAGATGCACTGGTGGGATGGATGATAGGACGAACGGTTGGTTTGCTGTGATCCTGGAAACCCGGCGTCTCAGAGCAGAATTCGAGGCAGCAAAAGGGAGGGTCTGAGATCTGAAGGAAGCGAGGAAGCGAGGAAGAAAAGTCCGGTCCTCGGGCGTGATTATTCCACGGTGATTATTCCACAGACGATGAACGGAAGGGGAAGGGAGGGAGAGGGAGAGGAAGATGGAGAGAGAAGATTATGGCTATGGGGCCAGCAGAGGTAGAGGGGGGGTGGGAGAAGAAGAGAGAGCGAGGTCCTCCTCATCCTCGTCCTCTTCCTCGTTCTGCATCAGAAAGCAACAGCACACCGGCAACTTTTGTGTTGCGCTTGCTTTGCTTCTGTTTGCTGCAGGAGTTCGCGACTGTACCACTCACTACCGCTACGGCTACTACTCCGTACCGCTACCACTTCGTACCACTACCAGTAGGTGCTGTACGAGTACTGTACTCGAGTAGGTACCAGTACTGTACTCTATCACATTGTTCTGATGAGGCATTACCGAGCGAGGCGTGCTGGGATAGGGATTAGAATTAGGATAGGGATGATGGATGGCCACCACGGAGTTTTTTGCAGAACCCAAAGCCTCCACGCTACGCAGCACAAGCTTTGCGGTTGATGCACCATCTGGCGGGTGTTGGTGGTGGTTGAGGGATGGGATTTGACGAGAGAGTGTCTGCATCGGAGAAGCTCCTGCAAGCTGGACCTGCGGGAAGCATTTGCCTGCGGTGCACTGTGGACAGACAGTGGAGTGCAATAGAGGGGCTTTGGACAGTTGAGTGTGGGGAAGTGACTCTGCGCAGACGCCATCGTCCCGCATCAGCTCATCAGCTCCCCGGGGTCCTGAAACTTCCACCAATTGCAACGTCCACCCATTCCAACCTCTGTGAATCCCCTCAATCTTTCCAAAGCCACTCAATTCCACGTATCGGGCTGACCAGAATACGATGCACTCGAGACATACAATGTTTAGAGTTTGCTTGACTGCCATACGTTTCGGCTGGACGTCCACAGCCACAGCCACCACGCCATAAGCAAGATCTTGGTCTGGCTTGAGCCATCATATGGTGGTAATGGTCCCCCAGTGCAGAGGGCGACAGGTCGGGAACAACACTACTACTGCATTGATTCAACGAAGCCATCAAGAGGACCGGATTCCTAAATCCCACCATTGCCTCCTCCACCGTCCCAGATAGAGACCCCTGGCCATGCCCGGTAACCACGCCGGAAGATTTTGTTAGTCGGGGTGTTTAGCCTGTCTTCTGGATGAATGCAGAGGCTTAATGTCACGTTGTGGCAGCATGGCTCACATGGCAGGCAGTGGTAGTCAGATCATCAAATTGCCATCTACAGAAGACCACTCCCGTATCCCGTATCGTTCAGAAACTTACTTCAACAACCGTCTGACTCTTGTCGGCTCCCTCCGCAGGCAATGCCATCTCTGGCATGAACTGCAGCCTCCTCCCCTCGAACCCAGAGTTAAAGAGCTTACCACTATCGAGGCTCCAGAGATGGGGCATGCCATAGGGCGGAACAATCAAACCACCGTTCCGTGGTGGATTTCTTTGGTTCGTGGAATCCTGTGTTATTGACACTCGAAACCTCCAGACTGATGCATCAAAACCATATCCGGAAAAACCTCGTCTTAGCTGGTTTATATCTGGTTTTGGGTCTATTTATGGCCTAGTCAGCTTGACTCAAGCTCTTTTTTGGTCATTCTCAATCCTTCATCGGACGACATTGGTCTCTTTTCAGTGACATGACGCGGACAATCTCTTAACAGTCTTGAAAAGGCCGCAATCGAGAACGTTCTACTGCTTCATGCATCGTATTTCGTATCATCGAAGCACCAGCGTGCCGGTCGATGTCCTGACCGCCTTTCGCCTGTGACACTCGAGAAGGTTTTTCTGGGAAAACTCCATGAAATTCTTGTTTTCCGCTGGGTGAGATTATTCCTCCATCTATCGCAATTTGTAGAGGCGAAAAGAGGCTGGAGAGTGATTGAAGGATGCGACTGAGCCAAAAGCAATTTGTCTGGAACAACCTCTCAAATTGCCTGATAAGTACCTCCTTCGAATATGGATCTAAGCATTATTGATAGAACCAGTTTGCCTCATTGCTTATTGGTCATTCCCAGCTTTCTTTTCCATATTCCCTAATTAATCCCTTGTCAGAACTCTGGTAGCCTTGCGTTCATTGAGATACTACGGCATGGTTGGTGGATTTCCAATCGCGTCTTTTGTGGTACCGAAAGCCACTTGTTGGACCTCTGAGCTTGAGTGGTGGGAAGGTTGTATTTTGGAAATCCATTGCTCTTGGTCGCTTTGAAGTTGTGCTCATTCTGTCTGATTGTTGTTTCCTTAGGTGCATATCGTTAATACTTTCCGTCAGTCTACCCCCACTCTTACCAATATCTGCGAGTTTTCGGAGAGCTCCATCCAAAGAGATAAATGTCGATAGTTTCTTTGGTCAATATATGTGGTATTTGATAGAGATAGTGGGGGCTCAAGAAGGAACAAGTGACCTACGATTATTCTCAAGTGGGATTACAGTAGCTGAACCCAAAAAGCTGACGATGTTGTTCTGAATACACTTACGTATCAAGTCTTCTGCCATTGTGTTTGGTGAAATCACAACTGCTCCGCAGAAGATTCAAAAGACCTACTCCTTTGAATCCTCCATGGCCTTTCCCCATCAGCATCAACCACTCCACAATAGACTTCAAGGCCCTAATCAAAGCATGCAAAACGCTGTTGCACCGCCTTAATTCCCATAGCATTTGCGAGATTGGGATTTAGGCAGTGCTCCGTTGCGTATGAATCCGCGGTTGAATGAATCTCGCTGCCGATTTGCCATTTGAACAGAATGGCAGAGCAATCTCGTGTTCCAACTTCCGGCTGAGTTGGTCGCAAGCCATTTTGAAGTATCAGGCCCATTCGCCCGATGGGTACGCTGCACAATATGACCCAGTGAAATGGTATCGGCTGATTTGGTGCATTAGATTACTGGAGTTTATCATTTAAGATTCTGGACGTTATTGACATGAAGTTATCGCAAGATGTTGGACATCAGAAGAAGAACAAAACTCATCAAGTCGTCCTCAGTCACCGACCTCCGAAGATGACCCGCTTCAAAGAACACCATCGTCATCGAGTCTCCAAAGACCCACGTTTCTCCCACTGTCAGTTTGGTGCTCCATTAATCCCCACCCACGAACTCCAGATTTTGAGGGAATGGGGGAACTGGGGAGCCCCAAGTTTTCAAATGCTTGAAGCTCACAAAATGGAAACCCCGAATTTGGCGCGTGAAAAGGAGAGCATGTTGGCGTCCACGAATCGTGGGTTTCGCACTTCCAGAGCTTTTTGGGGGGCCGTTGGGTCAGGCCCGAGATAGTTCCGCGTCCTTTCGTACATTTGCATACGGTATGTGGCAAATTGACTCTCTGGCTTCCCCATGGAGAAGGACCCTACGACCGGGTTTTTAGTAATGGATATTGGTCTTGGATTTCTTATTTTTTTATCACTCTCAATTTACTTCCGAGAAGAAAAGCTGATGATTCAGTCAACGACTCTAGATGTTCATCGCCAGTCGCAATTAAGAGTGCTTCGAGTGTTCACTGTTGTCCATTTGAGGCTCCACAAGTGCAGAAAATGAGGGTCTTCTTTTCGGGCCGGGCCCGATTTTATGGATCGCTGTCCCGGGGATTACCACCGAACACGACGTCATTGTATTTTTTCCAATGCTCCAGATGCTGTTTACGTTGACCAAGTTATAGAGTACATCTGGAAGTGTGGAGTACGAATTCGCTCCTGGTGCCTAAGATGCCCCAGATTCTCCTCGCTGTAATCCAGTCCTGCCACAACTCTACTATCCGAGCTCCACCCAACCAACCTCGCAAGTGCCAGTGAACCGGCACGATGGAAATGAATTCAAGGAGCTGAATCAGATGACATCGTCATAATTTCTCAAACCGGATGCGCCGTACTACTCTACTCTAGTACTCCATTCGGTCTGGGGATTGTTGCTCCACTCCCCAGATTTTCCAATTGTATAAGATATATCTGATTCCTCATTCTTTATCTCCTTTTATCCAAATCAATCAACATCAACGTTTTCCACCATCATGAATAAACTCAATTTCTCCAAGAAGAAGCGTGATTCTTCGAATAGCTATAATTCGACCGCTGTGCCTTCTGCTAATGGTTCGCCGAGAAACACCATTGATCATGTCAGCGAGAAACCAGTTGCACCTGTAGCCGACCATGCGGCAAATTCAGAAAAAGTACCTAGTGTCACTATGAAAACGTTTTTCATGACAATTCTAGTCGCAATGGGTGGATTCATCTTCGGTTAGCATATCCTAATCCAGTTCCAGAATTCTACTAACACGCACTCAGGTTACGATACTGGACAAATCAGTGGTTTCTTAGAGATGGATGTTTTCTTGGAAATGTTTGGAGAGGAAGGACCTATTACCGAAAAAAGCCCTACTGGATACCACTTCACAAATGTTAGATCTGGACTGATTGTTGGTTTACTTTCGATTGGTACTCTGGTTGGATGTTTAATCGCTGGACCACTTGCAAATAAGTTTGGACGAAAATGGTGCATTCCTCCTTGGTGTATGGTTTTCTGTCTTGGTGTTGTTATCCAGGTTGCCGTTGGAGATGGTATGTGGGTTGGTATTGTGATGGGTAGATGGTTGGCTGGTTTGGGTGTTGGTGCTCTTTCTGTTCTTGTGCCTTTGTATATGGCAGAAACATCTCCAGTTTCGGTTCGAGGAGCGGTTATATCGTAAGTACCGTCACTTTTCTGTGATGTGCTCAACTAATTTTACTAGATGTTATCAACTCTTCATCACTATCGGTATCTTCACAGCAGACTGCATCAACTTCGGCACAGAAGCTAGAACTGATACTGGCTCATATCGTATCCCTATGGCCGTGGGATTCCTCTGGGCCATCATCCTCGGTGCAGGAATCATGTTCCTCCCTGAATCACCCCGTCACGATTGGAACCACGGCCGTTCAGACAGAGCACGAACAACCATGTCCAAATTTTATGGTGTCTCCGAGACCCATCCCATCATCGTTAACGAAACAAGGGAAATCCAAAGTATCATGGAAGCCACCCAAGGTGACCACCCATGGTACGAAGCTGTCACAGGTCCACGTATGTTCTATCGTGTCGCCCTCGCTATGTCTTTGCAAATGCTCCAACAACTCACGGGCGCAAACTACTTCTTCTACTACGGCACAACCGTCTTTTCCGGGGTCGGAATCGACAACTCCTTCGTCACCTCCATGATCCTGGGCGGTGTCAATGTGGGTGCGACCTTCCTGGGTGTCTACATGGCAAAACACACTCGTCGTCGTGAGACACTTTATATCGCTGCTCTCTGGCAGTTCGTCTGTTTCCTCGTCTTCGCATCCGTCGGACAATTCCTCTTCAAGAACGCACCCGAGGGATCATCCATCGCCAAAACTGCAGGCACCGTCATGATCGTCTTCGCCTGTCTCTTCATCGTCGGCTTCGCCTCCACCTGGGGTCCCCTCGTCTGGGCCTGCATCGGCGAAATGTTCCCCTACCGCTACCGCGCCGTCGCCATGGCATTCGCCACGTCCGCCAACTGGTTCTGGAACTTCATGCTCGCCTTCTTCACGCCCTTCATCACGGGCGAGATCCAATTCGCCTACGGCTACGTCTTCGCGGGCTGTAACCTGGCGGCGTTTGTGGTGGTCTACTTCTTCCTCATTGAAAGTAGCGGCAAGACGCTGGAGGAGGTTGATGCGATGTATCTCATGCATGTCTCGCCCCGCAAGAGCGCCAAGTTCGAGTTCGATCTTGAGACTAAGACCCATTTGAAGGAGATGATTAATACGGATGCGATGCATCTTACGGGACGGGGACGGAATATGAAGAAGGTTAATGAGGGCTCCCGGGAGGCGTTTATGCATAGTGAGAATGTGCCTGTGCATACGGGGCCGGCGGTTAGTTCGGGGGCTAAGCCTTGATTGATGGGTTGAGGGGAGGGTTTTGTTTCTCTCGTCTTTTTGGATGGTGTTTGTGGTTTATAGTACCCCATTTGTGGCATTTCTAGGCGTTTTTGGGGGTGTTGGTGTAATGCTTTTTGAGCGAGTCATGGATAGATGGTTTATATATCTAGAACGAGGTCATAGATGGTAAGTAGGTTGTGTATCATACCCTAGATTCAAAAATCAAGATTCGAATATTTGATTAATCATTAAAACCCTATCTACTCGTAACGACCTCCTTGAATCAGTATACCTTCCTGCGCAAGTTTAATTAACCATTCAATACAAAATTTTCAAGAGAAGAGATTTTAGTTTTGACCTTGAGAAATATGTGATATAGTATAGAATAGAGCATTTCAACTTTCCTACTGTACCTCGGAATCTTCCCGAGGGGGAGTCGGATTTGATGTGCTCGCTACCTCCTCCGCGATATTGGTATGATCTTATATTCTTCGACTTGGCGACTTGGTAAAGGTAGTCTTCACTATTCTTTACTATTCTTTAATGAAAGAAAGAAATAAATAAAGGGAACTAGAATACTGAAGACGACCTATTCTTTTCTATTTGTTTATAAAACGTGGATTTTCTTGGAGAGGTTTGTTGAGTGGATAGGTAGTTGTTGTGGGTGGGGGGTTATGTTGAAGGGAATATGGGGGGATGGTNTATAAAACGTGGATTTTCTTGGAGAGGTTTGTTGAGTGGATAGGTAGTTGTTGTGGGTGGGGGGTTATGTTGAAGGGAATATGGGGGGATGGTAGTTTACGCGATTTGGGCGGTTTAGTGAGGCTGGTTGTTAGGTTTGGACTTGGGGTTTGGGCTGTGATGGGTGAGGATGAGTAAGTAGGGTTTTATGGGGGGAAGGGGGGGGGAGGTTAGGAAGGTGTGTATTGGTGTTGAGATGGAGTATAATGAGATGGGGATTAAGTGAGGTTAGTGAGGAAGTATGGGTAAGTAACAACCCATACCTTTATATCAATTCAACATCCCAGTAGTACAACCTCACAAAATAATTCTAATTAACAAAATAAGCGTAAACGACTACTACCTAGTAATCTTACTTACCTAGATACCTATAGTACGCTCAAGGTAATAATTAAACCTACTAACAGACTAAATCTAGATTATATCCATATAGTAGTAATACTCGAGTATCGTAGTTTAATAATACCCAAGATACAATCCCTAACCATGATTTTATTTCCCGTGATCTATATTATTAGGTTTCGGTTACTAGTTGGCTGAGGAGTAGGGGAGAAGGGTTGGTAATGGGAAATTGGTGTTAGTAGGAGGAGTTTGAGTTTTTTTATTGGATGTTTGTTTAATGGATGGTGGATAGTAGGTGAGTTATAAAGGGAGGGAGATAAAAACTTAGGGATAGGGGATTTTGAGTGTTACGGTAGGAGTGCTCTTGGTTTTATTGTTTAGTAGTAGTAGATTCGGTGGAAGGTGGTTGTTCTATTCCGGATTCCAGATACGTCTAGATAGATAGATCAGGCATCCCCTACTCCATAACACCTTAGAACCCGGTAGGCAGAACGTTCAACGTTCTAATTAGGTATAGACATAGTACTCTCGCCAAATCTCGCCAATTAAATTCAAGGAAACTACTTGCTAAACCTAATTAGGACGTTCTACCTACCGATTTCAAAGGTATTACGAAATAAGGGATAGGAAAGCCGCGTGAACTTTCTTCTTTATACTTACCTCTTTCTTATATTGTACTCTTGCCTTCGAGGATGTTAATATTATATCGGTAATTGACTAAACCACTCCCTCATTAACTAAAAATCACTAAAACACCCCTTAGATCATTGTCTACTAACTAAACCACCCTATAATTTATACCTCACTTTTTAAGGGGTGGTTTAGTCGCTAAAGCTACAAATTAGGGGTGTTTCTATCAGTTAACCTTCACTAACCTTTATATATATCTACACTTATTCTCTAGTAAATTAAAGCTTTAACGTTGTAGTACTACGAGTAGTATAGATTTTTCTATAACAACACTATCTATTCTCCTATAATAACTATAATAATAACTATGTTATACTAAGTATATATAATTAGAACCTGAAATATAGTAGATTGTTAGTACGAGAGATACTCGTAAATAAGGGTATAAAACAGTGATAACAAAGGCATATAAAAGTAAGTATAATAGTTAACTGATTAATCTTATACCAAGGACAAGTACTAGCTATAAGTACTCGTATAAGCTACCTAAGCCTTTAGATACCTAGGTAATAAAAGTAGTGGATATATCGTAATTTAGATGTAAAAGAAATAACCCGCTTGTTAAAAAGATATATTCGCTTAGCTAAAAAAGACAACTACACGGTCCCTTATAAATTCAGAATTACCGAGCTAATTACTAAAAGACAGTTCCCCTTTTCTAGCGCTCTGTGAGGGTTGGAACCCATGATGGAGGCTCGGGCCATGCCCTCGCTAAGCACTGACCAAAGTCCCCGCTGAGCATTGGCCATTGCTCCACTGCTAAATTGGTTTCTCCTTTTCTACACTTTTCTACTCTATTCTTTTGACGTCACGTATTTGTCAAACAGTTTCTTGGAAGACTCCAGAAACTCTTCCTCTCTCTATATATAGAGGAAGAGATTGCATGTATGTAGTCTTCACGCACTTCTTAATTGAATATTCGAAACCACACCTTTGAGCTATTCGAGGTCTGGCCTCTCACACGCTCTAAGCGAGATTTTTGCCTCCCCTTTTTCCATGAGAGGGTTCTAGGACTAACGAACTTAGAAAATAAGCTTATATATTATTATAGAGCTGAGGGAAAAAAGACGAGATTTCCGAGCCGACGTTGTTTCCTTGGTTATTCTTCTACAATGCCGATCTTTCTGTGTGATTGCTAGCTTCAAATTACATGCTGCAAAAGTGAATAGCCTTATAACTTTGGGGGAATCTAGGTAATTCAATGTGTTTTTTTAGATCTCCATGTATCTCACACCTATACTCGCTTAAGTATTTGTATTTAACACTACCAGCAGAGTATTTAATGTGTGATCTCAAACTTCCAGCTTTCCATAGTGTCTCGTCATGATATCCTTAAGGGTTCTAATTTTTAGCCTTCGCTGATGACATTTTCGTGACTTATATGTTTCATAACACGTTGAAATTGGCTTGGTCAATGGTCACTCGACGCTTTCTAGTCGACGATGGACAAGTTGTTTCAGGGCGAAGCACTTCAAAGAGTACTCATGATAGAGACTTGCAGTGCCGTCTGTTAGCTCGCTGTTCAGTCTAAGACTTAGGTTTCCTGAAGCGCGAGTTTGGTGGCGGTATGACTAATGCTCGTTTTTTGAAGGGCATAGAAGATCAAGCCCCATCACATAATCTTGATTCAATCATTACTTGTAACGTGACGTCTGATTTATCAAGTTGGCCCATTGCTTTTTTTGTTGTATCGAGATTGTAGAAATCGTTCGTTAGTCTGGTTCAGTGGCTGTGAAGGTAATAGTGCCACTTCATCTCATTCCTTCTTCTAGCATCTGTCGAGGATCTGGTAACCATTTAGTTCTTGGGCGGAGACTGGAACATGAGAGAGTGTCGAAATGGGGGGATCCCTTTGAAACATTATGTTGTTATTGATATTGATGTTGATATTGATCGTAGTCAATTTGAGGGTAGTACCCTCAACGTCGCGGATACCTGAGAGACAAGCGCCGAAATGATAGTGGCAAACATGGGAGTTTGAGAAGATAGCATCGTATAGAATGATCTATCGGTGTTTCCTGATGAAAATGTGACAAGTAAATTGATAATTCATCAAATACGGAAATGTGTAAAGTTGTAGGGACCAAAATGCTTCAATCAGGTTGAGCGTGAAGAGCAATAAAAGGGAACACCGAGACAAAAAGATATATTAACCAACAACAAAACCCGAAAGTGAGAAAAGCCATGTACAGATCTTACCTAACGCAGACGTCGCCTAGAGTTTGACCTGTCTCTCATTACCTTGGTTCTAACTCTTGGTGCTGTATGACGCCCTCACGAGAAAAAGACCGAAAACGCATCATGTATTAGTACTTCGAAGTATAATCTCCCACCACTGCTGCGCAAAATCACCAAGCTTTCGAGGGAGTGATAATCAATAGGCAGGTGCAAGGTACGGACGAAAATTCGGTCCAATGAGGGATTGCCTCGCCAAACAGGATGGTGGAAGCGATGAGACAAGACAGCGACAAGGGATACGTTCGGGCGGGAATTTTACAAGAAGCGGAAGCAGCGAGAGGAACCGACGGCCAGTTCTTAGTGACGAACAAGACGACGGGAGTGATCATCACGCTAAAGAGCGGCTGGGCTGTGGCCCCTGGTTACCGACTCTGTGGCAAGAACTTGGGTGGGTGCCATCCAAGAGTTTCCAAGAGTTGAGAAAATCGAACACTTAGTTAGCAATTGGAATTTAGCACCAACGAGCAATATAAATTGTTTCTTGATCTTTCGTGGCAAACGTTTCGTGATGATGAATTTTTGTGGAAGAGGAAGGAGGCGTATGGAACTTTATAGAATTACAGGAATTCTTTAATTAGATGTGCATGGCGTTGTAATTTGTAGATTACAATGCGGACATGGCCGGGTATCTTTTTTAGAAGCAACTACTCCGTAATTTACGGCTTCTTTTGCCTGGAAAGTAAAATATAATCAAGGGCGTCGCCTAGCTGTGGTCCCACGAATGGCAGTGGCAAAGCCTTTATCTCCACAACTTACAAGCCGCATAGCAAGATGAACTGGAGCTAAAATTGGTATTGGCAAATATGCTAAACGTTTCCCAGAACCTGGATTCAAAATTGACTCACAGACTCTAGGGCTTGAATTAACTTTAGGGGACATGTAATTTCCAAATTTAACAACACAAAAGACGCACAATTCTATTATAGGTGCTTCGAGATGCTGAATGAATGCGTTATTGATTGAATTTCCAGAATTCCGATAATTGTTCTCAAGCTGGCAATTCGAGGATTTGATGCCAGCAAAGGAGAGTAATGCTTGTTTTTCGCAACGTTGGAAAACGGGTTGAAACCACTTGGTCGCGTATTACTATGATCTGGGAAACTTGAATTCGAACACGAAAACGACACCAAGGTCCAGGAAGACTGTTTCTTTCTTGGGCGCTTGGGAGCCTGAAGATGACCGCAAAACTTCGTGGGGGAGTTGCGTCCAGAGCAATGCTTTCAGGCGTCCAAGAATTTGATATGATGCACTATGATGTTGGCGACTTGCGATTAGCGCTTGAGAAACCATGGACCAATGCAGAGCTGGTCGCCCCAGATTTTGGCAATAGTTCCTCATCTGCCATTGAACGCCAGTCCATCATGTCGATTCCAAACAGTCGTGATATGGCTCAAACTTGTTTTGTTGCTGCTTTGTGTTCCGCACATTCTTGGCTTGGAGTGGGCGCCAAACGCTCGTAAATATTGACATTTCCAAAGCCAGGTCCAAACCACCACAAGGGTTTGAAGAAGTGCATGTCATCAACGATCGAGATTTTGGAAGAAGTTCCAGTTCCACTTGAATGTATCCAGAACCGCCGCCCAGTATTTCTGACCCGGTTCGCCAAGTTTGCGCAAGAAAATAGTGGCATAGTGCAGTAGAGGCAATGCCAATTCTTTGCTGAACAGACGTTTGTAATTCTTGGTCTGCTAAGCATTTGTCCATTTTGTCCATTTTGTCCCAGCGCTGTGCCCACAGGGTGACACGCATAAATGGAAAGTATAAAAATACGAAGCACAGAGAGTTTTCTATGTCGATCAGTAGCCCTAAAAGTCTTCGAACTCTCTACTAACCATTACTTTTCAATATCTGGACTGAGAAGAAATACTGACAGAACTGCACCACTTGGTACTCAAGTATGGGGTTTCGCAAACCAAATCCCACCAGCAAAGGAAATAAAGAAAAATAAAGAAAGAGCAAAGCACGCGTATTCCCAGCGATGATAATTTGCGTTGATAGGGGACCAGCCCCTGCATGTTGGGATTCGAAACTCTTGGTAAAGGGGACCAAGACGTTTCCTCCCTTCTTGGCTCGAAAAATAGTGGGTATAAAAGAAATCGCTTCGAAAAAATAGTGGGTTGGACGGAGAACCCCCTTCAAACTCTCAAGCCACACAGACTCGAGAGATGGGAGATGTTGGCAGCAGATCGTGGACATGGACGTAGGCATCGAACTTAAACTCTTCGAGAGAGGCTATTTTGAACCTCCTATTCTCTTGAAATGAACACCCTCACACCGTTGGACTCATCATTCTTTGCAAGCAAACACACCAAGAGACATGGAAATGAGATGAGCTTTCAATGCTCATCACATCCCAAGACAGAGTCCTGAAAGCCGGGCAGAAAACTCGTGACGAGACGTGTGTGCCTTCGGTTCAAGTCGGCTCGTTTCGCACGCTGCTCGTTATTGTACTCAGTACGTACTGTAACGCTCTGGCGGGCCTTGAGTTCTTTTCGTGATGCTCTCTGATAGGTCAATGAATAACAAAAATGTCAAATTAAGTAATATGAGGGAACCCATGTCAAATAATACTTCAAAGTAGTTTGCAACTGTTGATCAGTGCGATTTGCGATCCGCTGTACGGGAGCCTGTGCACTCTCAAGGAATTAGCTCCAACGTCAACTGAATATGTGCGCCTTGGGACTTGTACTGTTACTTCTTAGGCCTCTTGGTCTCGGAGGGTGTACGATGGATAATTGCCATCCCCCCTTGTCCGGCAGACGGGCCCCGGTAGAGTGCTGCTTAGCTGCTTAGGTTCCTTCCAAGAGCTTTCGCCTGATTAATGACGTAGAATTTAGAGCCTCATTGCTGCACAATTGCTTGTGCTAGCCCGCGACACCGGCGAAAATATCCTGGAATAGAGCGCGTGGCATCCGGAATGGGCGGTAATGTGCGGTATAATCGTTCGTAAATAAACCAAGAATTAAAGGGCTCTGTCATTATATACATAACAAGTCATGGGAACGACAATATTGACAGGCGGAAACGAAAATGTAGCGTGCGGGACTTTTCGTGGTGTTGAGCCATCGTTCTTGATCATTTCTGAATGGGGATTATCCAGGCCCATCGACATTCCAATGGGCGTTTTCTGGGTCTGCTATGAGTCTATGTGATCTGTCACCGTGAAACCACAGAGAATTGGTTGGTGAGCCCGTCCTCAAACTCGCTAGGTGAGGTTTTCAAGAGGCCCCGCCTTGGCGAGGCTCTCCGGTAGTGGCGTTGGCAGGGTGAGAATAAGAGTTGAGCCTCCCGCAGGGGTTCATTCTGAGAGAATCCACCTTCCTGAGGCAATGCTCAAGAATCAAAACACCATTCTGCGTGGGTTTGCGACTGCCCAGCCTTACGCTGCACCTCTGCTGCAAATTTGGCCAGTGCCAAGTGCTTGGGTGCCAAAGGAAGCGCGGTGCAGGAATTGCCCAGGAGTTCCCTGAAATGCGGTCGCTATTTCAGGCATGAGTGCAAATCTGCCGTGGGAGATGCCTTTAAGCGAGTGCTTGGCTGCTGTTCGTCCCAATCAGAAATCCCCGTCGCCGTTACGCTGCGAACGCGGGTTGCCCCTTGGCACTCTGAAATCAGTTTGTCCCTTGGACCTCAACCTCGACGACCAGGTGTTTGTATAGACACTTGGCAGTTATATCTTTCAACTTTGGATCCACCATGAGATCCACTGACAGGGCCTTTTTGGGCGAGAGTGTTTGGGGTTCCAGTTTAGGGGAGCGTCGAGAGCTTAGCGAGAATTGATCTTCTGAGACGAAATAGATATTACTCGGAAGCGCCGCTCTTTCTTCTTGTCAATCTGGTATTCATTATTCTTCACTCTCTCTTTTCCTTCCCCATTATTATTTCTTCTTTATTACATTTTCAGTTGGTTGGTGTGTAAAAATAGTTTCCTATCTCAGTCAGTTCTCTCATCAACACGAATGGATCCCCAGGCTGGACCTACAGACATAGAAAGACTGGTAGCATACAAGAAAGACGTCCTATTCGATAACCGCCGAGAATCTCGAATTCGTGAAAGCGTCGAACACACATTACAATACTTCTCAAATAGAAGCTCAAGAGTAGACAACATGGACAGCCTTCCACAAGGACAACAAAACTACGGCGGTGGAATACAACAAACGAGGTCGCCGGCTCCAGAATACAACAACGTAGATTACTCGAACCAGGCACAGATTCCATATCCACAGATGTCTCGATCGCCGTCACAAACAAGATATATGGATTCGAGGGCAGGGTCGATATCAAATCAAAAGATGCAGTATGATATGATGGGTGGTCTCGGGCGAAACAATTCAGTGGGAAGTCAAAATGGGCACAACACACCAGGAGGACATCTACCACCGCGTGGAGACCTATCGAAAGAAGAGAAGGAAATCCAATTTTCAGACTTCGATTCAGATGCTGCCAGCTCACACGGCAGCGCCCACGGCCACGGTCACGGTAAAGACGCAACTCACGACCATCACGGCCATGCTATACCGGTAAATGGAAAGCTCGCTTTTAGAGATCGGTTAAAGCATTTTACTTTCGCCTGGTATGCTTGGACTATGGCTACTGGTGGTGTTGCTTTTACCATGTCCGCCATCCCTTTCCGATTTACCGGTCTCACTGGCCTCGGAACTGCCATGTTCATTCTCAACTTATTCTTCTTCACCGGTGTTACATCCCTACTCACAGCTCGCTTCATCCTACACCCCGGAACCCTATACCAGTCTCTCGTTAACCCCCACGAAGGCTTCTTCATGGCCACCTTTTGGCTCACTGTGGCAACAATGATCACCAACTCAACTGCGTACGGAATTCCAAACTCAGGCCCTTGGCTCGTAGAGGCTCTCAGAATCGCTTTCTGGGTCTACACTGTACTGGTCTCAATTGTCGCCGTCGCATATTACCACGTCCTGTTCACAGTAAAGGCTCTTGTCATCACCAACGTCCTTCCCGGATGGATCTTGCCAATTTTCCCTGCCATGTTGGTAGGTACACTTGCCTCAGCCATCGCCAAGTCACAAACTGCAGAACACGCCCTCCCTATGCTTATTTGCGGTCTCTCATACCAGGGATTGGGTATGATGTTGGCTCTTATGATGTACCCAATCTACTTTGGACGTCTCATGACTTCTGGTCTTCCTGCCGATCAATCGAGACCAGCCATGTATATTGCTGTTGGACCTCCATCTTTCACAGCCCTCGCTTTGATTGGTATGGCTCAGGATGTCAAGATTACAAAGATCTTCTCAACATATTTGAAGCTTCCTAACATTGACAACCCTGGAATGATTGAGGATCTCTTCCAACTCTTGGCCCTCCTCGCCGCCATTGCTCTCTGGGTATTTGCCGCTTGGTGTTTCTGTATCGCCATTGTTGCTATGTTTGAGGCCATCCACCGAAACAATTTCCATCTCAACTGGTACGCCAAAGTTTTCCCTAACGTGGGATTTACTCTTGCTACAATCAATATCGGTAAGTCCACTCAATCTTTCAAGCATATGGCACATACTAATTTTCCTACAGGTACCCGATTAAACTCTTCAGCCATTTTGATGGTTGGAACGGCCATGGCCGTCATGCTTTTCTTTGCTTATCTACTTGTATTCTTCTGTCATATTAAGGCAGTAATTAAACATGATATCATGTGGCCAGGAAAGGACGAGGACGCTCACTGAGGCGCTTTTTTCTGTTGGGAGTTTGATAATTATTGCGTTATGGGCGGTTAGGCCAATAAAAAAAAGTTAATAAACCACTGTCGTTACCGATAAAGAAGCAATGTAGTGCATAGGCGTCTATCGAGGAGGTCGATGGCGTCCGGAGTCTTAGACAAAGTGCGCGAGGGCATCTTGGAAACGCGCAGGACACGTAGAATAGACAACATAAAAATATAGATATCGAGGTAGATAAAGGCGCGAGCATACCCTTTTTTTTATAGATAGATGGAGAGGATAAATTAATATTTTTTTTCATTGTGCATTGTGCATTGAACCCTTCTGTGACCCCCAGGCTTTTGACATTCTCGAACATTGTAACCAAATGATGGTCTGTAAATCATATTGAGCCCAAGTCAATACTGAAACCTCGCAGGTATTTTCGTACAGTAGAATACGGAACGCCGATCGGACACTTCTGCCAAAGAGAAAAATTGAAACCCCGGAAACTGAAATCCACACCCTACTTTCATAGAGGAAGTATAGAAATTGCTCTTTTTTTCCTTCTTCTTCCCCCCCCCAAAAAAACAGACAGGGCTCCTTCCTAAGTTGAATAAGCGCTAGGCTTCCCTCTTACTGCTAACTATACTTATAGGTACAAAAGTACTTATATAAGTACTTAGAGATAATCGAAGTACCTGCAGAAGTGCCCGCGTAAGTAGAGTATAATAGGTAGGTATATACTAGTAGGCTCTAAGGATATAAAAGGGTAAAGGGAGAAAGGAGAGGAAAGTAATCCTATTCTAAGGTAGTAAGGGAGGGGTTCCTTAGGAATACGGTGTAACGAATACTCAAACTGGCTAACTAAACTTGGCTGGGTGTTCGCTGGTTGGTATGCTATGATAAGAAGAAGACTATCGGGTTGTTCACTTGGAAGTGAACTCGCTACTTGTATCAAAGATGTCAAACAATAAGATAAGATTGATAACTAAGTTGAGCACGAAGCTCCTATCTAATGGCAGACATGCCAGTCTTATATAGAACCTTCATCCTCAAGTGCTAGCTTGCTAGCCTGGTCTAGCCGTCGCTGCTAGACCGCTAGACCGGTCGCCCCGTCTAACGACCCCTGGTCACGTGACAATAACCAATGAAAATCCTTGGAACGCTTAGCTACCCTAAGTGATCCCTATTTGTTATAAGAAACCTGGATGTGCCTGTCGAGGGTTGCGCCTCCTATTATGACAAACATCACGTGAACACGTGATTCGTGACATACGGCTAGATCTCTCTTTTGTTTGGAATTTACATAGCCCGGTATTTTTGAGTTATATTCTAGTAATATCTTATCCCTTTAGCCTGCCTCACCTACTATATGCTTAATACCTGCCTGCTACCAGCCGACCTATGCTGTCTCTTTCCTCTATATACTACTAGGGCACTCACTATATAGGGACGACAAGGGGGGCCGTGTCACGGTACAAGTGCAAGTCGAGGACAATTGCGACTTGGTTGAATAGATTGATTACAGGGAGAGAAGAGATTCTTAAGGAGATCTATCTTTTAAGTCGGTTGACACTGGTCTGTACTGGTTTATCCATAATTGTGAATAGCTTCATGAATGAACGCAGGTCACCTGATCTGACTCCTTGACATCGTCCCCCTTCACTCCCTCATTTCCCCTTCCTATTGCTGTGTTTTGGCCAACTGGAGTTCTTTCTTTGTGGGTCTGACTTTGTCTTTGTGTAGTCTCTCAAACTCAATCACTGAGGCTCTAGCTCGGACTACGTTGGCCAGTGGTTCCCAGCTAGTTTCCTCATAACCTCTCCATTTGATCAGGTATGAGAAAACCCCAGTTCTCGTCCTCCTTGAGTCTACGATAGCTTCAATAGCCCATAATGCTTCGCCATCGCTGTCAATGGTTAAAGGTGGTGGTGGAAGGTTGCGTTGGCCTGGGAGTGGGTCGTCTGGTGAGGGTCGGAGGAGGTTGACGTNCAGGTCACCTGATCTGACTCCTTGACATGGTCCCCCTTCACTCCCTCATTTCCCCTTCCTATTGCTGTGTTTTGGCCAACTGGAGTTCTTTCTTTGTGGGTCTGACTTTGTCTTTGTGTAGTCTCTCAAACTCAATCACTGAGGCTCTAGCTCGGACTACGTTGGCCAGTGGTTCCCAGCTAGTTTCCTCATAACCTCTCCATTTGATCAGGTATGAGAAAACCCCAGTTCTCGTCCTCCTTGAGTCTACGATAGCTTCAATAGCCCATAATGCTTCGCCATCGCTGTCAATGGTTAAAGGTGGTGGTGGAAGGTTGCGTTGGCCTGGGAGTGGGTCGTCTGGTGAGGGTCGGAGGAGGTTGACGTGGAAAACGTTATAGAGTGAAGAGAATTCGTGTGGGAGGTCTAGCTGGTACGAGTGGGAGTTTGGGATTGCCGTGATACGGTATGGGCTGTGACAGTTTTTGATTTAGTGAATAAGGGTTCGCTTAGCGAAGTTGCGGGTGTACCCTTCCGTAGATAGACAAATACCTAAGGAGTGCGAAGAGCGTCTCTCTTCCCTCCTTGCGAACAATCTATTCCTTGATCCCCACCATAACATGGGCCAAGAAATTTCGGGTTAAGCTTGTTCACTGGCCTGTCTAGTTTAATGTTGCGCGTGCTAAGGAGTACCATGTCTCCTATTCTGTATGCTGGGCTGGGGACCGTTTCCTGTTTGCGAAGTGGTCTAGTGTAGCTTGGGCTGCTCTCATGTTTGTCTGTAGTAAGTCGGTAATCCTTTCCATTTTCTCGACAAAGTGATTCCCTTCTTTATTACGGAGAGTCAGCCCTTTTGGTACTGTAGTCTGTATTGGGCGTGGGGGCTGAAACTCATCCTTGGGTGGAAACCTGTATTTGCGAAGAATGGCGACATCTGAGTAGTGTCACTTACTACATTCCGTACGGCGAATTCCGCAAGTGGTAGCCAGTCATCCCAATTGTTTTCTGCAAATTCAACGTATTGGCGGAGGTATTGTTCGAGGAAGGCGTTTGCTGCTTCGGTTTGGCCGTCTGTCTCTTGGTGGTATGCGGTAGCAAGTCTGATGTCGATCTGTAGTCTGTGGCAAATGGCTTTCCAGAATTCCGAGATAAACAGCGAGCCACGGTCAGATATAATAGAGTCAGGGAGCCCATGTGGCTTCCACACGTCACGGATAAACAACATGCCTAACTCGTACGCTCCCATTGTAGTGTTGCAAGGTATAAAGTGTCGATCTTTGGAGAGCCTGTCGACTGCGACCATTATAGCGTTGTAGCCCTTCGTTGTAGTTAATATTGGGCCGATGAAGTCAACAGAGAGGTCTTTCCAACGTTGTAGTGGTACAGGGAGTGGTTTGAGGGTGCCTTGGTAACGAAGTTTTGAGGTCTTGTTTCTCGCACAACTAAGGCAGTTACGAGTAAATCGAGTAACATCGTGGCTTAGTTTTGGCCACCAGTAGAAGCGAGATATTAATTCGTATAGCTTGTTCTTCCCAGGGTGCCCTGACTCAACGCTGTCGTGAGTTGATTGTAGAAGGAAAGTTCGTAAGCTAGGTAAATCTGTTTCCAGGTCCAAGCTGTCCGGCACGTAAATTCTGTCTCTGAAGTATAGTCTACCTTCCTTGATTCAGCATTCAGATAGTGCTATATCTCTTGAGTGAGGTATGCCAGCTGGCTTCAGCATCTCGTCTCGTGTCTTGTGAAACCACGAGTCTTGTTGAAGGCCTTTGTCGAGGAGTCTTGTGATTTTGTGGTCTAGAGGCTCAGCCTGGCTAGGTTCTAGGGTTGTAGGGCAAAGTGTAATCTCTCGTTCCCAGGAAGCGTCTGCAAATAGCTCGGACAATTCTGGGTCAGGCTGTGTTTGGCTTCGCAGTTCCGGGTCTAAGTTGTAGGGCTTTAGGAGTGATTTATAGCGTGCTTTTAGGCGGTCGTCGTCTTCCGTTTGAGGTAGGTCTTGAGAGCGTCGAGTGAGTGCGTCTGGTTTACCGTTCTCCTTCCCTGGAACTGTCTTAATGATAAAGTCGAACTGAGAGAGGAATTCGCTCCATCTCACTTGGCGTTGTGACAGTTGTTTAGTCGTCATGAAATATTTCAGGTTAGCATGGTCGGTGACTACTGTGATTGGGTAGGATGTGCCCTGTAGCTCTGGTCTCCAACTCTCAAAACAAGGTACTATTGCTAGTAGTTCTTTGTCGTATATTTCGTAGTTACATTCCGCGGGATCGTACTTTTTTGACATAAACGCGACAGGATGTAGTATCCCTTGGTCGTCGTACTGGGAGAGTATTCCTGAAGAGACGTAGTCAGAAGCATCACATTCGACAACTACTTCTCTTTCCGGGTCGAAGTGGCGTAGGATAGGTGCAGAAACAAAGCAGGATTTAAGGGATTCAAACGCTTGTTGACAGGTGTTCGACCAGTAGAAGGGAACTGATTTACGAGTAAGTGTAATTAGTGGTCGTACTATGCGTGAAAAACCTCTGATAAAGCGCCTATAAAAATTGGAAAACCCTAGGAATGCTTGTAGGTCTTTTACGCAGCTCGGCGCCTCCCAGTCAACAATAGTGTTAATTTTCAAAGGGTCCATCTTAACTCCGGTTGTAGAGACGATCATACCTAGGTATGTGACTTCAGTAGTTTCGAACTCGCATTTCTTGATGTCGAGTTGTAAGCCTGCTTCTTCGAGGGCTGTAAGTACCGATTTAACGTGTTCCCTGTGAGATTGTAAACCCTCTGAGTAGATGAGGATATCGTCGATGTAGGCTGTACAGAAGCGGTCGAGGAAGGGACGTAGGATTTGGTTTATTCGGGCTTGGAACGTGGCAGGAGCGTTTGAGAGGCCAAATGGCATTACTAGACTCTCAAAGAGTCCGTATCTGGTATTAAATGCTGTCATCCATTCCTGGCCCTCCTTGATTCTTATCCGGTTGAATGCTGATATTACATCTAGCTTCGTAAAGAATCTCGCTTTACTGAGCCGTGAGAGTGTCTCTTGAATTAATAGTAGTGGGTATCGGTTCTTGATCGTGATTGCATTAAGACCGCGATAGTCGACACAGAAGCGGAGTCCTCCTCCTGGTTTTCTGGCGAATAACACTGGTGAGGCAGCTGGGGAAGTACTTGTTCTTATAAATCCCTTTTCAAGATTCTCTTTCAAGAAAGTTCGGAGTACTAAGAGTTCGTCTTCGGACATGCTGTATAGGGGTCCATGTGGCGGCGAGGTATTAGGTTGGAGCTCGATCTCGTGGTCGCAGTCTCGGTGGGGTGGCAGTATGTCGGCTTTTGATTGGTTGAATACTCTAAGGTGTTCGTGGAAGTGGGAGGGTACTTTTGTAGTAGGGTCGATGAAGGCTTTAGGTTCAAGTGCTTTTCTGATATCCTCGATAGAGGCTCCAGATAAGTACATATCTGCCGCAAGTTGTTGTCTCTGTTGGTTCTCGTTTACTTGGTAGGTGGGTTGAGACTTAGGTGTAGAATCGTCTTGTTTTCTGAGCTGGTAGTTCATCATTTTGGTGCTCGTTAGTGCTGAGTCCGAGCGAAGCGGCGTAGCCTTGTTGCTTCTCTCCACGATAAGCGAGTCCTCTGTGATCACTCCAAGCTCTGCTAGCCTTGTATCGATTTCGTAGATCGAGAGTGAGAAAGTCTCAGTGTTTCTTCTTGTAGCAAGGAGGTAGAAGGCCGATGCTACTAGGCGTCTAGGAGACGATGTATGTGAGCCGACGAGGGTATTCGGTATCGGTTTTGATGATTCGTTGCCTTTGACGTAGATTTGGAGATAGCCTTTCGCTAGGCAATTCCTCTGGCAGTGTTCTGACCGGAAAGTTAACGAGTTTGTGGCCCAATCTATGTGGGGGTTGTGGTCGTTTAGCCATGGTTTTCCAAGTATGATATTGTACTTCCCAAGTTTAGTAACATAGAAGAGCATCTTCTCTATGTGTCCATTGATTGATTGAGTGAGTTTTACGACATGTGTAATATCGCCAGCCGAGGAGGGTCTTCCGTCGACTACATTAAGCCTACGTGGGTTACGTAGTTTGTGAAGGGTATAGTGTTGTTTTTGCGCAAAGGACTTATCGATAAACCCTCTTCCCGTTGCTCCTGAGTCAAGCATTCCTTGTGTTAAAGTTGAAGAAATATTTTCATTTTCAGTTAAAGTACATGGTAATAACAAATGGGCTTGATTAGAGTCTAGGGAAGAGATCTGTAAATCGTCCTTATAGCCGCGTCTCCCGTGGCGACTTGTGAGGGAGACTAGGCTTTTCCCGTCGCCCAGGGTGCTGTGGTACAATTCGGGGCAAAGTGCTTCGGCGAGGCGCACCAATGGCAAAGTCTATGTTCCGTATAGTACGTTCTTCGTGCCTCTCGTTCAGCATCTGTCTTTGGTCGGCGCTTGTTCTCAATGTCCTTTCTTTGCCACGTAACTGGTAGGGTTGCACTCAGGTCCATTGCGTCTCCTCCATTGGCAGGGGGTGGAGTATAAGGTGTAAAGGGGTACGGGGTATGACTGCCTGCTTTGTTCTTCTCAAGGTAGTCTGGGTTGGCCTGACGGACTTCGTAGTCGCAGCGGCGGACGAGTTCTGTGTACCTAGGGAGGTCTTGAGGAATATCGTCGTCACGTAAAAAGGAGATTCGGTTGAGAACTTCTGGATGGATTGCATTTCTCAGATGGTCAATCAAGGCAGTGTCGTCCCATTTCGTAGCGTTAGCGGTAGCAACCCAATCTGGAAGGAATATGGCCATAGGTGACGTCCCTTGTTCGAGGGTTATAAGACGTTTTGCTGCGCTTGCTTTGGCGTTGAGGTCTCCGAATGTTATTGTAAGGATGTCGGTGATAGCTTTCACATGCGGGTGTAAGATTGTACCATCATCGTTGATACCGTGTGCGACCTGGTTATATGCTTTTGAGGAGAGTAGGCTAATAACATAGCCCATTCGTTGTTGTTCCGAGGTCCACCAGTCGTTATTCATTCTGAGTTTCAACTGGAGCTTCCGAAGGAATGAGGGGAGTTCCTTTGGGTCCTCTCCTGAGAATTCGAGTGGGTCTGGGTGGAATGGCGATCGTAAAGTAGCTTGTAACCCTCCATTAGGTGGTCGAGTACTGAGTGCGCTGATTATGGTATCTTTT